CCTCCCCCCCTCTCCTTCTTCGTTGGCGCAAGGAGGCCGAGATTTACCGTGTATTTTTGATCGGGCAGCAACACCAGCAGCTGTGCCTTCCCTTTGCCATTGAATAAATAAGGAACGACGTAGGCGTAAAGTGGGTTGTTCAGCAGCCTGCTGCTGCTGCTGCTGCTGCTACGGCTGCAGCCCTGCAAGAGGGTTTAATTCCCGTAAACCCGTCGACCCCGCCATGTTTGCACACACACACTCACACATTGCAGTAAGAGCATGCCCACAAACAACTTCCCGCTCGTTAACCCGTTGTTGTTGTCCTCGTGTATGTGGAGAGACAGAGAGAACAGAGAGGGAGCAGTGAGAGAGAAAGGAGACCAGAGAGAGAGAGAGAGAGCGAGAGAGCGAGAGAGCGAGCTAAACTGATTTACTGTAGTGTGGTATCGGTGGCTGGGCTCGGCCTACTCTTGCGATGGGCTTTCTCAGCGGACGCCGCAGCAGGGGGAGGAAAGAATAGGGGAAAGAGAAGGATGGAGCTAATATATTCGTGTGTGTGTGGGCGCAGGGCTCACCCCTGGGGTGGGGTGCCCTTCCGTTTACCTGTTCGCGTCGTCGGGTTGGTCCTGCGGGGCGGGGACTGGCGGGGAGTGGGCCCCCATCCGTCAGCGGCGCCGTACAGTATCGCGCTCCCCGGCCCGAATTTGAATTTGGCGCTCCGCGCGGGCGATAAAGGGCCGGCGTTGTTGGCGCACCTGCATGGCTCTGAAATACGGCGCCGGCCCCCAGCCTGACCCAGCCGAGTCGAGTCGGCGGGAAAAGTGATGAGGCGTGCGGTGAGTCGGCGGCTCTCTCTTTGTGGACGCGCTTGCTCACCACGATCTTCACCACGACGGTGAGCAGGCTGTGCGTGCTCTTCAGCATGTCGTGTGCTCTCCAAATAAATGAAACGGGGTAAATGTTTGTAATACAAACGCTCCAAATCCTTTGCACGTTACGAAGATCAGTTGTTCGTAAGAAACATACAGTGAGAAACTCTTTATTCGAAAATTGTGACGGTGTACTACTTGGTGCCCTACAGCCTACAGCGCGAGTGAACTCTGCGACACAGCCTCATCCGCGCGCCTGCTCATTGTCCCACGTTTCTATCGGTGTAATTCACTCCGATTTTCGCTCCACGCCGCCTGAGGAAGGGGGAAGGGGGCGGGGGAGTTGGGAGGGTTTAGGTGTTGGTGCTCTTATTGGATTGGACTGCCGACGTGGCCGAGCTGGCCGGAGGTGTATAGCGACTCTGAGCCGTGCAGCGCCCCGAGCGGTCCACTAACTGGGGAGGGGGTGGAGAGGCGTCACCCTGCCGATAGAGCCGGTAGAGGGAGAAAGACGGTAGAGAGGGAGAGAGCGAGACAAAAGAGGGCAATGTCGTGGCGAACGGCCATGAAAGTCGCCATCGGTCAAGAAGACACACAAACGGTTAGCCGTTATTGTTTGACCATACGGAACGTGTTGTGTATTGTAGTAAAGCAATTGGGATCCGAAAGCCAGGCCGTTTCCGAACACACATACATTTTGTAGAAAACAACGCCGTTTTCTTGTTCTAAATAACAGCATTAACACAATCAATTAAAATTTTTACCCCTTTTTAAGGTTTTTCCTGAGGCAGGATATTGAAAAGGAAAGAGAGAGGAGGGGGGGGGGAGGATGAGACTCCCGGGGCGCACGCCGCACGCGTCTGCAGCGTGCGACTGAACAGGCGCGTTCACCCTGTCGCTCCTCGGCGGTGACAGGACAATTACCTCGGGAGTTCAAACGTGACAGCGTTCCGCCCCCACCACGCCCCGCCACGCCCCGACGCCCGGCTCTTTTGTCCAGACTTCGCTCACGGCCACCATCGTCGCCGTCGTCTGCTTTTCCTCCTCGAGAGGCGTTGTGTCGGACGCTCAAAACGCTGGCAAAACAAAAGAGAGGGGCGCGACGGCGAAAATTACATAATCTCCGAACGAGTCGGTGATTGTGTTGTTGGAGAGGGACGACTTAATGCAGCTGTGCCTTACGTGTCGGCGCCTCGTCGGGCCGCTGCCGCTGCTGCTTTCGCTAAATGCCCCAGCCGGGCTCGAGACGTGATTCCCCAGCTGCACGCGAGCGCCTGGCGGGTAGGCAGACCCGGCCAGCACGCCTGCCCCGCCGCGGCCTATCCGGCACGGCGCTCTCACAGACGCTGCTGCCGGTGGGACCCACTGTGAGAAATATCTTCGCAAATTTACAACATATCTTGTTTTTTAGATTTACAAAATGTGTTGTAAATTTACGACAGCCCCTTCTTGCTCGTTTATGAATGGCAATTCGATACAGAGGGCTTGTAATTTTGCAATTTTAAATTGTAATTTTACAACACACATCATGGCAATCCTTCCTGTAAGCCTTCCTGGGTTTTTTTACAGTGGCTAGGTCCGCAAAGGATTTCGATACACACTGTTCGCAAGGTTTTAGCGGCCGACGCGACGGTTGTCCCACTCGGCTCGTCGGGCGTCGGG